AGTGCTAGGATTACAGGCGTGAGCCATAGTGCCTAGCCGAAACCCCATCTCTACTAAAAAATACAAAATTAGCCAGGCATGGTGGCACATGCCTGTAATCCCAGCTACTCACAAGGCTGAGGCAGGAGAATAATTTGAACCCGGGAGGCAGAGGTTGCAGTGAGCCGAGATTGTGCCACTGCACTCCAGCCTGGCCAACAAGAGCAAAACTGTCTCAAAAACAAAAACAAAAGAAACAAAAATTATCTAGGAGTGGAGGTGTGCGCCTGTAGTCCCAGTTACTCTGGAGGCTGAGGCAGGAGAATCACTTGAACCCGGGAGGCAGAGGTTGCAGTGAGCCACTAAGATTGTGCCACTGAACTCCAGCCTGGGCGACAGAGTGAGATTCTGTCTCAAACACACACACACACACATACATACACCAACAAAAATAAATAAATAAATTACAAAAATTAACCGGGCATGGTGGTGCACGCCTGTAATCCCAGCTATTTGGGAGGCTTAAGCAAAAGAATCACTTGAACCCTGGAGACTGAGGTTGCAATGAGCTGAGATTGTGCCATTGCACTCCAGCTTGGCAACAGAGTGAGACTCCGATTCAAAAAAAGAAAGAAAGAAAAGAAAGAAAGAAAGAAAGAGCTTTTACCTCGTTGCCTTTCTGAGAGCAGGATGGGTCACCAGCAGCTGTACTGGAGCCACCCGCAAAAATTCGGCCAGGGCTCTCGCTCTTGTCGAGTATGTTCAAACTGGCATGGTTTGATCCGGAAATATGGTCTCAATAGTACCGCCAGTGTTTCCGTCAGTACGCGAAGGATATAGGTTTCATTAAGTTGGACTAAATGATCTTCAAAGGATTATCCAAGACACGAAAAAGACATGAAAAACCATGATAGTTCTTTGTACATAAAGTAAACATTTTAACCCCCCCCCCCAAAAAAAAGGAAAGAAAGAAGGAGGGAAAGAAAGAAATAAAGCAAAACTGGAATATTACTTCACAATGGAGGTAAGTATGAGTATGTCAAACTACAGGAGATTCCTTAACTCATCTTAGTATTACTGTGACCTATGATTAAGGTCAATGGAAAACTACAACAAATCAATCCAGGACTACTAAAGCCCCGGACCCTTCCGAAATGAAGCTTTGGGTTACTCCACCAGGTAAAGAAACAGGGAAACACCTGTTAAAGTGCTTGCTGAAGGCAGAGGGAATACAGAATGGTAGTAGAAAAAGGTAGTTGTTAAGATCAGCTATGACCACAGAACCTAGTACTATGATTGTCATGAGCATTTCCTCTTGTTTTATTAGTATGTTTTTTTTGTTTTTTTTGTTTTTTTTTTTTTTTTTGAGACGGAGTTTCGCTCTTGTTACCCAGGCTGGAGTGCAATGGCACGATCTCGGCTCACCGCAACCTCCGCCTCCTGGGTTCAGGCAATTCTCCTGCCTCAGCCTCCTGAGTAGCTGGGATTACAGGCACGTGCCACCATGCCCAGCTAATTTTTTGTATTTTTAGTAGAGATGGGGTTTCACCATGTTGACCAGGATGGTCTTGATCTCTCGACCTCGTGATCCACCCGCCTCGGCCTCCCAAAGTGCTGGGATTACAGGCTTGAGCCACCGCGCCCGGCCTATTAATATGTTTATGTGTATATATATCAAGCAAATATCTTTGTTTTCTTATCTCTTTTTGTTATTTTATTATTATTATTATTATTATTATTTTTTTTTTTTGAGACGGAGTTTCGCTCTTGTTACCCAGGCTGGAGTGCAATGGCGCGATCTCGGCTCACCGCAACCTCCGCCTCCTGGGTTCAGGCAATTCTCCTGCCTCAGCCTCCTGAGTAGCTGGGATTACAGGCACGTGCCACCATGCCCAGCTAATTTTTTGTATTTTTAGTAGAGACGGGGTTTCACCATGTTGACCAGGATGGTCTCGATCTCTCGACCTCGTGATCCACCTGCCTCGGCCTCCCAAAGTGCTGGGATTACAGGCTTGAGCCACCGCGCCCGGCCTATTTATTATTATTATTATTTTTTTTTTGAGATGGAGTTTCTCTCTTGTTACCCAGGCTGGAGTGCAATGGCGCGATCTCGGCTCACCGCAACCTCCGCCTCCTGGGTTCAGGCAATTCTTCTGCCTCAGCCTCCTGAGTAGCTGGGATTACAGGCACGCGCCACCATGCCCAGCTAATTTTTTGTATTTTTAGTAGAGACGGGGTTTCACCATGTGGACCAGGATGGTGTCGATCTCTTAACCTCGTGATCCACCCGCCTCGGCCTCCCAAAGTGCTGGGATTACAGGCATGAGCCACTATGCCCAGGCCATTAGTGTGTTTTTTGGTTATACGCAGAATAATTGTATTATGTTAGGCAGAATTATGACCTATTATTTTCTTTATTTGGAAATTAAATATGGTTTAAGGAGATGTATATGGGTGCCAAGTTGACTAGGGGTGGACTTGTTGTAATGGTTAATTTTATGTGTCAACCTGGCTGAGCCATGGAGGGCCCAGACATCTGTCGAACATTAATCTGGACGTCAGGCACAGTAGCTTGCACTTGTAATCCCAGCACCTTGGGAGGCCAAGGTGGGAGCATCGCTTGAAGCCAGGAGTTTGAGACCAGTCTGGGCATCATAGCAAGACCCAGTCTCTACAAAAAATTAACAACAACAACAACAAAAATAGCTGAGTATGGTGGTGCACACCTGTAGTCCCAGCTACTCAGGAGGTTGAAGTGGGAGGATCCCTAGAGCCCAGGAGTTCGAGGCTACACTGAGCTATGATGGCATCACTGTACTCCAGCCTGGGTGACAAAATGAAACCCTGTCTAAAGAAAAACAAACAAAAAAAGTATTCTGGGTGTGTCTATGAGGGTGTTTCTAGATGAGATTAACAACTGAATTAGATTGAGAATTAATTAAATAACATTTGAATTAGTGGTAGATTGAGTAAAGCAGATTGCCCTTGTAACACGGGTGAGCCTCTTCCAATCATTGAAGACATGAATAAAACAAAAAGGCTGAGTAAGAGTAACTCCTCCTGCCTAACTGCCTAAGCTGAGGCAGTCTTTCCTGGCCTTCTGACTCAGACTGAAACATTGACTCTTCTTGGACCTTGAGCTGGCTGGCTTTCAGTCCAGAGCTACACATCCATTCTCCTAAATCTCCAGCTTGCTAATTGCAGATCTCGGGATTTCTCAGCCTCCATAATAATATGAGCTGATTGCTTATAATAAATAAATACACACACACACACACACACACACACACACACACACACATCCTATTGGTTCTGTTTCTCTGGAGAACTCTGAATAATATATTTCACATTTAAAACAACTTTATTGGGGCACGTTTTGTATATCACATAATTCACTTTTTTAGAGTGTACAATTTAATGACTTTTTTTTTTTTTTTTTTGAGACAAGGCTGTACTGTCACCTAGGCTGGAGTGCAGTGGCATGATCACAGCTCACTGCAAGCCTCACCTCCTGGGTTCAGGCTATCGTCATACCTCAGCCACCCAAGTAGCTGGTACTACAGATGTGTGCCACCACATCTGGGCTAATTTTTGTATTTTTAGTAGAGATGAGATTTCACCATGTTGGTCTGGCTGGTTTCAAACACCCGACCTCAGGTGATCCACCCACCTCACCTTCCCAAAGTGCTGGGATTACAGATGTGAGCCATCGCATCCAGTAAATTTATGTTTAACATTTTTAAAAAATTAATAAAAAGTAAAAAATAAAAATAACAAAAAATACCCAAATAAATTTAAAAAAAAGAAAAGAAAAGAAAAGAAAAAATACGTTTTAAAAAATTGCCAGGCTGGGTGCCATGGCTCATGCCTGTAATCCCAGCACTTTGGGAGATCGAGGTGGGTGGATCACCTGAGGTCAGGAGTTTGAGACCAGCCTGGCCAACATGGTGAAATCCCATCTCTACTAAAAATACAAAATTAGCCAGGTGTGGTGGTGCATGCCTGTAATCCCAGCTACTCGGGAGGCTGAAGCAGGAGAATTTCTTGAACCCGGGAAGCTGAGGCTGCGGTGAGCCGAGATCATGCCATTGCACTCTAGCCTGGGCAACAAGAGTGAAACTAAGTCTCAGTAAATAAATAAATAAATAAATAAATAAATAAATAAATAAATAAATAAATCATTTTAAAAGTTACCAAACTGTTTTCCAACCTGGCTACACCATTTTACATTTCTACCACCAATATATGAGGGTTCCCATTTCTCCACATTCGCTGCAACATTTATCTTTTTTATTATGGTCTGTCTATTAAAAACAAGCCAACAAACAAAAAGGTTTTTGTTATTGTTGTTGCTTCTTTTTTTTCGCAGTTTTTACAGTTTCCTTTATTTTTTAATTTTTTTTAAAGATGCGGCTTCACCATGATGGCCAGGCTGGTCTTAAACTCCTGACGTTTTCTTTAAACACAAAACATGCACAGAAGTTGTCTATTCATTTTCCTCGCTGCGCAGCCCTGCATTGGGGTTGGCGACTCTGACGGCCAGCTGGGCAGCTCTTTCCATGATGGCCTTGCGGTCTTGGAGGAAATACTGTGAGCGATCTCAGCATTCTTAAGATTTGTGGCACATAAGCAGCACTTCCAGCTTCTTGGCATTGTGGACCAGGAACTTAACGGAAGCCACTGGGTAGCATGTGCTTTGTGTTTTTGTTGTTGTTGCTGCTCCCACTATCTTGGGCATCAAGATCTGTCCCTTGAACCTTCTACAAAACCTGTTGTCAATACCTCTGGATTTCCGCCAGTTACGCTTAGTTTTGACATATCGGTCAGACGCGGGATGAACGTCTTGATTCTCTTTTTGACAATCTTGGGCTTCACAAGGATTCTGAGGAAGGTTTTTCAAAGAGCCCTGGGGAGACAGATTTTTGAGAGGTAAAAAGACCCTCCCTCAAAACCGACCGCGGTCCTCCATTGGGTAGGGGGCGCTCCAAGACAGGAACTCTTCTAGCCCGTCGCCTCTCCACATTAGTGAGATCCTCGTTGCTAGGAGACTAGACGCCTCTTTCCGCTGGAGCGCGCAGCCTCACAGGTAGCAGGGCCCTCTCTTGTTCGAGGGCTGAAATGTCTGGTCCCACAACCTCCCACAACAAGGGGCAGTTCTGGAAGGCCCCTTTCTAGGGACATTTTTCTTCTACGCTCTATAACGCGGGCCGAGGCGGGCCGAGGCTTCTTTCCCGGATCCAATCACCTGCCCCGCTATGCTTAAGAAAGAAAAAAAGGCCAAGACGCCCCTGTCCGATGAGGAGCAGCTGCTTCTGTTTCAGCAGAAATTGCTGGCAGAGGAGGAGATGGCCAAAAAGAAGGAGAGGCTCCTCAGCCAGTTCTTGAAGGTGATGGCCTTTTGCATTATGTCCTGCCTAACCCCATCCTCCCCTTGCGCTGGCCCCTGTCACTGAGGAAACCTCATTTCATCCCGACCTCCCCTCCGGAAATCCTGAGACCCAGATATACTTAGATTTCAGGCAACATTGTTTGGGAGGCGGGGGTGTTCTCTGCAAAGCATGGAGGGGGTGCGTAGTATACAGCTTGGCAGTCTCTACTGAATCCCAGAACTAGGACAGTAGGTCCTGTCAGCTGTCCCAGCTGTCTGGAAGGCTGATGCTCTCCTTGGAGATAGGTCATTACAAACAACATCCTACTCTGATGCTCCCACCCTGAAGGAAATTTACCCTTGCCCTCCCTAAATTCCATCAAGCCGTTCCCATGGAAAAAGAGTAAGGTGTCATCTGACAAATTAAGAGTGAGATCTTGTTTGTTGTATTGAAAGGCCCTGACTTCCTGGAGGTATATTTATTCCTTCACATAGGACAAGCTGGCCAAGGAGGAACACAACAGTGCTCTGAACCTTAATAAGATTAACACACAGTGGAGAACCGTCCTTCGGGAAGTCAAGACCAGAGAACTTCTTAAGGACATTGAGATCCTCAGCCAAACATTTGAACGAGTGGTGGACTGTAAGGACAATGTCATCAAGGTAGGCACTGTTTCCAAGGAAACCTTGAGTATGGCTTCCTGACCTCTTCTCTTCATAGAATCAGCCTAGTGAATTAAGTAATCCATCCGTAAACCCCTCACAAGACACAGGCTGTGAGAAAGCCAGGCTATTGGTAATAACAGTTTTCACAGAAATAAAAAATAGAATATTGGGCTGTCTTTCATCCCTCTCCTTCCCTTAGAGGAGCCACTCTCCTTGGTCATCTACTGCCTGAAACCAGTACTATCCGATAGCAGAGTTGTAAGGCACAGTAGACATCACCCAGTGACTTGAAATGAGTCCCACACCTTCATTTCCATGTCAGAAGGCTCAGTTCCAGAGGGGAACTGACTTGCTCAAGGTCACACAGCTAGCCAGTGAGAGAGCTAGGACTCCAGCATGTGTTTCTTGACCTCCACTCTAGTGCTCCATTCAACCAAATTGTTTGGCCTCTTAATTAAACTTCAGTGGCCCTGGATAATACCGAGATCTCCATGGGTAAGAGCAGTTCTGGATTTCTAAGCAATTCAATCAGCCATCCTTTTGCTCTTGGCCAGTTCTTGAGTTCTTGATTCCATCCTATCTTTTCCGCTAAGGGATTTTCTCTACCCTATGTTTCATCTTTTAACATTCTGCTTCCATTTGCTGCCTTTTCCTTAGTCTTTTCCATTTCATTTTATTTATTTATTTCTTTGTTTTGAGATGGAGTCTCACTCTGTCGCCAGGCTGGAGTGCAGTGGTGCGATCTTAGCTCACTGCAACCTCCGCCTCCCGGGTTCAAGTGATTCTCCTGCCTCCGCCTCTCGAGTAGCTGGGACTACAGGTGTGCACCACCACACTCAGCTAATTTCTGTATTTTTAGTAGAGACGGGGTTTCACTGTGCTAGCCAGGATGGTCTCGATCTCCTGACCTGTGATCCACCCACCTTAGCTTCCCCAAGTGCTGGGATTACACGTGTAAGCCACTGTGGCTAACCAGAGTATTTTCCATTTTAAACAAAACAAAGCCCACAGTAACAGCAAAGTGTACATTGCCAATATAGTATTCCCCCTATAGAAAACATACATTTCTCTTTCTCAGCCTAAACCCTGGGGGAAAAAGTTCAGCAGACCCTGGGCAGCTTCAAGAAATATATATTAAGAGTCCTAAAGCCAGACGCAGTGACACACGCCTATAATCCCAGCACTTTAGGAGGCCGAAGCAGGCAGATCACGAGATCAAGAGATCGAGATCATCCTGGCCAACAAGATGAAACCCTACTAAAAATACAAAAATTAGTCAGGCATGGTGGCACACGCCTGTAGTCCCAGCTGCTCAGGAGGCTGAGGCAGGAGATCACTTGAACCCAGGAGTTGAAGGTTGCAGTGAGCTGACATCGCACCACTGCACTCCACCCTGGGTGACAGAGCAAGACTCCTGGGTGACAGAGCAAGAATCTATCTCAAAAAAAAAAAAAAAAAAGTCCTCAAATTTGCAATAACTATCATTCATTAGAAGTCCAAACCCCACCAGTTATACCTTATGGATTTTTTTTTTTTAAGGTGGAGTTTCTTTTCTTTTCTTTTTTTTTTGAGACGGAGTTTCGCTCTTGTTACCCAGGCTGGAGTGCAATGGTGCCATCTCGGCTCACCGCAACCTCCGCCTGCTGGGCTCAGACAATTCTCCTGCCTCAGGCTCCTGAGTAGCTGGGATTACAGGCACGTGCCACCATGCCCAGCTAATTTTTTGTATTTTTAGTAGAGATGGGGTTTCACTATGTTGACCAGGATGGTCTCGATCTCTTGACCTTGTGATCCACCCGCCTTGGCCTCCCAAAGTGCTGGGATTACAGGCTTGAGCCACCGCGCCCGGCGCTCTTTTCTTTTCTTTTTGAGATGCAGTTTTGATCTTGTTGCCCAGGCTGGAGTGCAATGGCGTGATCTCGGCTCACTGCAACCTCCACCTCCCAGGTTCAAGCAATTTTCCTGCCTCAGCCTCCTGAGTAGCTGAGATTACAGGCATGTGCCACCACGCTGAGCTAATTTTGTATTTTTCGTAGAGATGGGATTTCTTCGTGTTGGTCAGACTGGTCTTGAACTCCCGACCACAGGTGATCTGCCCGCCTTGGCCTCCCAAAGTGCTGGGATTACAGGCATGAGCTACCACACCCAGCCACTGAGTTTTACTCTTGTCACCCAAGCTGGTGTGCAGTGGCACAATCTCGGCTTACTCTGACCTCTGCTTCCCAGGTTCAAGTGACTCTCCTGCCTCAGCCTCCCGAGTAGCTGGGACTACAGATGTGCTCTACAAAGCCTAGCTAATTTTTGTTAAAATTAAAGAGAAATAGAATTCTTTTTTAAATTCTATGGTATAATACAATCAGTTCAGGTTTTTTTTTTTTTCCTGAACAAATGATCCCTTGGTCTTTCCTGTGGCATGCTCCTAAAACAACCCTCTATGTCTAATCAGTCACCTAAGGTATTTAGTGGCAAGTCTTTCACATTTGCTGCTTATAAGTCCTCAATTGTCCATATTAAGCATTTTCATTTCTGGGTAAGGAAAAAAGCATTTTTGGTCCATTTTTTCCCCCTCAAGGCTGAAAATCAAGCATTTTTGGTCCATTAATTCACCCACTTTCTCCTGGAGGACATTAACCAATTCTGCTATTACAATGATGTGAGTGTCATCAATGTCTTGAATGATGAACTTCTTCCCCAGGGCACTGGACTCATCCAAACACAGAATAAACTGCTTCATGGCAGGATCACATTCTGTAAGCACTCCTTTCAAGACGTTGACCATCTTTTCTCAGTCAGAAGGTTCAGATGACCTCAAGAATGCTCAGCTCACAGATGTAGAAGTGCCTTGGCATTGCCAACCTAATTTTTGTATTTTTAGTAGAGACAGGGTTTCACCATGTTGGCCAGGCTGGTCTGGAATTCCTGACCTCAGGTGATCCACCTGCCTCAGCCTCCCAAAGTGGGGATTACAGGTGTGAGCCAACACGCATGGCGTATGCCTTATGGATTTTTTTTTTTTTTTTTTTTTTTTTTTTTACAAAGTCTCGCTCTGTCACCCAGTGCAATGGCACGATCTTGGCTCACTGCAACCTCTACCTCCCAGGTTCAAGCAATTCTCCCGCCTCAGCCTCCTGAGTAGCTGGGATTACAGGCATGTGCCACCGCGCCCAGCTAATTTTTGTATTTTTAGTAGAGACGGGGTTTCAACATTTTGGCGAGGCTGGTCTCGAATTCCTGACCTTGTGATCCACCCGCCTCGGCCTCCCAAAGTGCTGGGATTACAGGCGTGAGCCATTGCGCCCGGATGCCTTATGGATTTTTAAGAGGCTTTTTCAGACACCTATTGGAAGTTATCAAACACTTGATGAGAACATCAGTGTTGATTGCCTAGTGCTCCATTATTGGAACGCTAAGGTTGTGGGAGTTATGTATATTGTACTGGTCAAGGTCATCACCAAGGGGTGATTTTTTGACGCAAAAAATTTGCAACCTCCAGCATGAATGGGTTAAGGGAAGCTGAGTAGTTGACCAGGTTCACCCATGAGACAATTAACTTTTTCCTACACATAGCCTTGCAGCTTATGATAACAGTCCTTGCTTAGGTAAATCACACACTGTTAATATTAACTACCTTCAAGGTCATTACTGCATAAGACTGCACATATTAAATGTGCAAATATTAGTGATCCTCACTCACCATCTCTACTTGTTTGCTTCCCTTTTTATCCTGTATCCCACAGCATCTGATTTCTACCCCCTCTAGGAAACTGCTCAGGTAAAGGCCGCCAGTTCAGAGCTGTGGCTACTTTTCATCATTTAGTCTTTATGTAACCTGACCTCTCTATGACACTGACATTTTTGGTCATGCCCTGGATCTTGAAACTCTCCTTTGGCTTGCAATACACCATTCTGTCATTTTTCCTACCTCTGGGATATAAACCATTCACTCTAGTGAGTTTATTTATTTATTTATTTATTTATTTATTTATTTATTTTGAGACGGAGTTTCACTCTTGTTATCCAGGCTGGAGTGCAATGGCGTGATCTCGGCTCACCGCAACCTCCGCCTCCTGGGCTCAGGCGATTCTCCTGCCTCAGCCTCCTGAGTAGCTGGGATTACAGGCATGCGCCACCATGCCCAGCTAATTTTTTTGTATTTTTCGTAGAGACGGGGTTTCACCATGTTGACCAGGATGGTCTCGATCTCTCGACCTCGTGATCCACCCGCCTCGGCCTCCCAAAGTGCTGGGATTACAGGCTTGAGCCACCGTGCCCGGCCTATCTTTTTTTTTTTTTTTAAAGATGGGGTTTCACCATGATGGCCAGGCTGGTCTTGAACTCCTGACCTCAGGTGATCCACCCACCTTGGCCTCCCAAAGTGCTAGGATTACAGGCATGAGCCACCGCGCCCGGCCCCAGTGAGTTGATCTTGCTGTCTCCATCCTTTGCACTTTGGCATTCCCCAGATTTCTGAGTCTGGCCATCTGACCCTTTAACCAGTGTTCTAGGGCCAGACAATGTTACTTATTACCCTGGCTTTATTGTATTGTATTGTATTTTCAGACAGAGTCTCTCTTTGTTGTCCATGTTGAAGTGCAGTAGCATGATCATAGCTCACTACACTCAAGCTCCTTGGCTCAAGTGATCCTCTCACCTGAGTAGTTGGGACTACAGGCTCTCACTACTACTGGCTAAATTTTAAAATTATTTTTAAATTTTTAGTAGAGACAAGGTCTTGCTGTGTTGTCCAGGCTGATCCTCCCACTTCACACCCTCTGGAGTAGTTAGGACCACAGGTGCACACCACCTCACCTAACAGATTTTTTTTGTAGAGATGCAGTTTCGCGATGTTGCCCATGCTGGTCTTGAATTCCTGGCCTCAAGCTGTCCTCCCACTTTGGCCTCCCAAAGTGCTAGGATTATAGGCATGAGCCACTAGGCCCAGTCCATCCTAGATTTTACATGTATCCCTGACCTTTCTTACTAAGAGTGGTACAAGT